ACAATTCGCATCCATTGATAAAGCATTAAAAAAAGACATTACTGTCACATAATTCATCAATTATGTCAAATGCTCAATTTATCAGTAATCTATTGATAAATTATCTGATAATAATGTCTTTTTATTTTCCAACTTTCATTTCTAATTCCTATTTTTATCATATGAAACAATAATCAACAAAAATATCATTATATTGCACACAATATGTTGTAACCTTCCCGAACCTAAACCCTAAATGATTACAAATCTTTCTATTAATCGAAAAGAGATCACTAACTTACCCGTACTGTTACCCTGCTCGTATTCTCTATCGGATTCATCCCGCTTTCTCGTTTTCTAGAATTTTCCACTTTATATAAACCGAGCATATAAACTTCTTATCAGTATCTTTTCAACTTTTCAAATATTTGTAAACATTATACTCAACTTAAAAGTTACTTATAGTAAGTAAAATACTTACTTATAGTAAGTAAAATACTCAAATAAGATATTTTTTGAAATTTCTCCATTAATGATATTGCATTCACTTCAATCATATTTATCCAAAAGACTTATTAGAACTGATCTTAGCTTGTGTTAATACTTTATGAATTTCTATTTAATGTCTGATGACAAATCTTCCACTCAATATTAATTGAGTAATTAGCAATTTACATTTCTTATTTTCATCAAAAAACGGAAACCAAAAATGTTAAAATTTGACAAATGTTATAACAAATTCTATTTTCTACTTTCCAGAGGATACGTTCTATGAAAAAAAAAAAAAAAAAATTGAATTGGTCATATTTAAAAAAGAAAAAACTATCAACTTTTAAATTGTAATGAGAAGTTATTCATTGTTTGAAATTAAACAAACTGAAAAAGTCTGTTTAAAATTACGATTTGTAATTTTGTATTTACCATTTGATTTATTTTCCTTAAATAAAAAAAGCTAATGTCTATAATAGCCATTTGTTTGAAATCATCAAAAATGCACACAGTGATATTCTAAACTCAATTTACTATTCAAATTCCATTTAAAATTCTATGTGAGATAATTAGATTGCATTATTCTTTCACATTTGCATAAATAATTCTGAATGAGAATAAAAGCAAACAATTTTCTCATTTTTTTTTTTCACTAAAGTTCATTTTAAGATTATTACTAGCTTGAAGAGGATTTATGGTAAACGTAAAGTACTGGATAGATAGCTCTTAAATTTTTTAGAAAGTTTAAATTAAGCTATAAAGTTAAAATTTACAAATTTTTCTATTAAATTAAAAAAATATCGCATGGCTTCAAATCTAAATATAAAACGTGGACCATCGAAATATGATTCAAATAAGCCAATTGTAAGTAATACTCTTCTCATTCGGAAAAAAAAATTTAAGATGAAAAGTTGAATATTTAATTTTTTGACAAAAATCCTTTAGAAATGTTGCGTACATGGTGACAAATGTTCAATTGGGCTGAAGACAATGTCAACGGAAACTTTAACTCGAAGCGAAAAATCCTCCGAGGTAATTTCCTGAATGCTTATCATCCTTCTATATTAATTCCGTTTTCGTATAAATCAAATCAAACAAAGTAAATGTATCCTTGTAAATAAAATTAGCAATGAAATTAAGTGATTAGTTATCCGGAATATAACGAAATTTTTATTACATTTTGACGGATAATTGTCGGAATGTGTGCTACAGGAAGATTTATGCCGGATTTACTCTGTCATTCATTTAAATAAAAAAAAAAAACGGTTGTAAATTTTGAAAATACAATAATTTTAGAGTATTTCATTTGAAGAACAAGAACCAATTGTATTTCGTTTACAACGCGCAGAATCGTAAATTTCTCCTTTTCTTGGCAGAAAAAAAGGCAAGAAGAACTGAGAAAGGGAAATGGGAGCAAAGAGAGGGAAGGAGAGAGAGAGAGAGAGGGAGAGAGAGGGAGAGAAAAGAATTGGAAAAATAAACAAAAGACTAATTACTATTTTAGATTTACAAAATTTAAGTTTACACGATTTCTTGGTCATGAATATATTTGTGAAAGAAATGCTATTGAAAAGGATCCAAGGAAGTCAGTTTTTTTGCAGTGTAAACAATTTGCATTCTACTGCAGTTGCAGTATTAACAGCATTAAACAACAATGCTATAGAAATAAATAAATTTATTATTTAGTAGTTAAATAAACTTTGATCTATTTTATGATATCAAATCATCCATCTGATCATCCCAGTATTTTACTATAAAGAATTTTATTTTATTTTCAGAATGAAAGAATCTAAGAGTATAGAAGATAATTCAGCATTTCCAATGAAACGTTATTACATTGGTATCGTTACACCACAAACTGCTGAATTATTTGTTTCACGTAATACTGCCTTTAGAGTATGTTGAATGCTTTACAAAATAATAAGCATAATGACATTTGAAGTGTTGACACATGTCAAGTAAATAATAAAGTAAATGATAATTAAATATTAGATTAATTTGATTATTTGACATTTCATTGTTATTTAAAATAAATATAAATATGAAATATTCTGACAGCTATATCATTCACTTAAAGAAATAAACAATGAGAAAGTGCCATTATGCATTGTTTATAAAAATAGCCGTGGCGATTTCTAGTAAGTTTCTGATTTCATTTCATTATAATTGATGTTTAGTTAACAGTACAGTTTCAATTTACCTGAGGTAAAATCACGAGATACTGAAATAGGGACAAAAAAAGAGCAAAAATGAGTTTATTTGGTGAAATAAAAGTGTAATAAATGTCTAAAACAATCTTATAAAATATATTAACCTTATCGATCTTGGATTATCTCTCAAAATGGAATTAAAGAATTATTCTAAGACTCATTTTGTCCAGTATGAACTTATTGAAGATTTTTAGCAATGAGATTAATTTTATAGAGACAAATTTATGAAGTATTAATTTAATGACTTGATCAAAATAAGAAAAAACAAACATAGCGAAAGACATTTACGAGTGAGAAAGAGAATTTAAAAAAGAAAAGGCACTGATAATATTAATTATAAACACATTATCAATTTCAGTCACTATCTAATCAGAGAACGATTTGATAAGAATCTTCATACAGATTTACTTTATGTAGATTGTGGTGATGAAGAACCACCAGAATTTATTGGAATTGAGGCACTTATCAAATATTACACGTGAATTGTTATTGCTAATATTTTTTTCACTCTTTTACTTTTATTCTAATTTTAAAAATTTAACTTGAGATAGTTTGAAATTTGCACTTATTTCACGTTCATTTCATAAGATTTCGATTTATTTAATAATAGCAATAATTGATTTATTAGTGTAATTAATTTTCATATTTGATCAAATATAAATATAGTTTTGAAAATTGCAAAAATTAATTGAATATGAGATATTTGACGTAAGCTCGTTCAGTGACATTGTTTTATAACTACATTGGACACGTAATCCAGGTATTACTTTACCTTGGATAACAGATAACTTTAATGATTGACAAAATTAATTTTACTTTATTAATTTTCTCTCAAAAATATTTCAGCGTTTATGCATCATTGCATTCGTTTTCACTTGCAAATGGACTTAGTGTGGACGTTTTCCCATGGTGGCATTTAATCAGCAATGTTTGAAGTATTTCAAATGTGATTTGATTCTTATCCCATTTATTTCTAATTTTAAGTCATAAAACTCAATTATATTAGAAGTAATATATAATTTTCGTAATAGCTGATAAAAATATTCAATGTTATAGACAATGTCACATCATGGAACTTTTCGTCTTTAAATATTCAATGTTATAGACAATGTCACATCATGGAACTTTTCGTCTTTAAATATTCAATGTTATAGACAATGTCACATCATGGAACTTTTCGTCTTTAAATATTCAATGTTATAGACAATGTCACATCATGGAACTTTTCGTTTTTATTCTTCATTAATGTTTGCTATAATGACTTTTCAGGATTTGTATTTAGTTCATACTTCATCTTTCTTGTAGCTGTTAGTACAACTAAACTATTTACTTTTCTTTTTTTTTGTTTCTTTTTTTTTGGGTTTATGAAAAATCACTCTAAAGACAACAATTTTTGGAGTTAGTTTGTGTATTTTACAATTTCGGAATTTAGAAATTAATCAAGCTATATTCAAAAGACTTCAGATCTTCAATTCAAAAAAAAAACTACATTCAAAATCAATTTGCAAAAATACTCAAAATTTGAATCCTTACTTTTGAAAGAATGTCCCTTATTTCCTATGAAATGAAATCTTTCCAACAGTGCCACTCTACGACGTCTCTGATCGAAGAGGTAAACTCCAACAATTATGTAATACTTGTAGTACTGCAAAAGTTATTGAATGAGTAAATATCTCAGTAATTTGTTATGCTAATTTATAGTCAACTAATTAACGGTTAAGAAAATTCCTTTGCTAATAATATCACCGGGATTTCTCGATAAATCGATAAAAGCATCAAAATATCTATGTGTGAATGTATCGTTTATTTGTATATAGAATGGTAGAGAAAGAGAGGGAGGGAGAGGGAGAGAGAGGGAAAGGGAGAGAGGATGAGAAAGTGAGAACACTACGGAAGATTACGGTAGTGAACTGACTTGAATGTAGTGGAGAAGGCAGACGTACAGCCGTCAAATATTACTAACTTTTGAACACTTAGCAAATACGGTTTGTAGGTGCTGCATCTTGTTCGTTACTGGGTGGTAGGGATCAGATTTAATTTTATGATTTTTTTAAATGTGAATGAAAGTATAACAGTATTTTTAAAAGTGCGACAGCAAGGGTTGAGAAAGTGGAAAAAGTTTTGTAAATTCAGAATTATATTTAGAAAGTGTTGAGAACTGCTGTCTACCGTTAAATTAGTAAATTTCATGCAAAATGGAAGTGAAAGATTTTCTTTGCTTTAAATAAAAATAAAGTTCGAGAAATTTTGTTGGAAGTATCAGTAAAAAAAAAAAACTAATAATGATTATTTTGCATTGAAGTTTCGAAAGTTTGATGATTAATGGCTGAGACATTGTCACTGTCAACGTCGGCGTCCAGTCCGACAATTAATGATGGATCGATGATTGCCTATAATGCGAAGCCAATCCTGTTAGTTATTTCGGTTTATGCGCTACATATTGCATAACATTTTAATTACGCAAGAATTGATTTGATACACATGAAACCTATTTGTGATTTATTGCAGAATTTTGAGAACTCACAATTAAGTATCACGATGGACATACTTGGACTGTGTTCGTGTATAGCAATCTTTCACTCATTTACTGTTTTCCTTAAACTACCCCAGGCTTTCTAATATTGTTCAGTAGCTACGATGAATGATAATTTTTGTCTCAATAAAATAAAGATTAATTAAACAGCACTTTCTCTGCAAGCCATTAACTATCCGGTTCTGCAATCTACTCGAATCAAACCTTATTTCACGACAACACTTTTGAGCAAGAATCTGGCTAATGAAATTACCTTAGAAATATTCAGTACTCTTTCATTTATCGAATGTCGAACTTTTTTCTTGTTAATGAAATGCCATCTGTCTGCAGTTGTTTGCCTAGTACAATACAACCAACACCGTTACCAGTTGTGAAGCTTGAACTCAATACAAATTTGAATGTGCCACCACTGAATGCATGGTCTGCTGATGTGTACGATGATTTCTGGACAGAAATGGAGAACAGTTCAAAAACGAGCCATGGAACAACAACTAGCACTGCCTCATCAGGAAATTTTTCGGGAAACGGAAATAGAAGTAGTACTGGACAATGGCGTTTCAGTACTCGAATCAGAGATTGTTTCGAAAGGTAGCTAATATTTGAATTTAGAGTTAGGAAGATGAATTTATCGGGACTAATCTCTACTTAATATAGCTGAATTGCTTGCAAGTTGTAATCTTACACGGCTTTTCGGAAGAAATTTGTGACGTACATTGATCAATTTTATTATCAAATTCGTAGTCCATAAGACTTTAGGTTTGAAATATTCCTATTTTTTAAATGATGTACTTTGCAGTCTTCGTCTTGCTGATTGCTATATCGATGCTATAGTTGGTGGTATTGATGTCATTGCTGAAGCTGAAACTTTGAAAAAACTTATTGCTGCACCCTTCTCCAAGCAACCCCTAAATTTAATAGTTCATAAAATTGGGAAAACGCTAATGTTGGATAATTGTGCCTACCTGAAGAATGTAAGCTTTTCAAATTTTGAAGAAAGAACTCATATATATTGAGTTTCGTGTGATTTTAATTTTTTTTGTTTTCAGTACGCCTATATGAATCCAACTGTTGGCATTTCTTCTGTGGCAGATTTTCTTAATTCTAAGTCTCAATGCCTTATTGGTTTTGCTGGTGCCAAAACTGCAATTACAACTGGTGATATCATTGCCGATATGCATCGCAAAATGATAACTGAGAGTTTGTATACTAGGAGGTAAGCAAGCATACTTACATTGCTAATTTTTTCTGAGGTAATAAGAATTGTTCCAGATAATTTCTTAATTAGTATTTGCATGCTCATTACTCATGTATTGTATTTAGCCATATTCATTTTCTATGTTTTCAGTTTGGCACCGTTGGATTACACAGCAGCTACTGCAGAACCAGATGTTCCAGCCCAGACCAATAAAAGTCTGCATTTTTATACATATAGTTATTTCATCTAGTTTAGGCCTATTTTTCTTTATTTCTTTTTAGCTTATGAAAATGAATCGTCAAAAAAGATCAATGAAAGTGGTGGTTTAGTCGATCCGTTGGAAGATTATTTATACACAAAAATAAGGATGGATGATGGAAAAGTAAAAAACTTCCTCTTGCTCATTACTTTCCTATTATTCTTATTATTACAATAATTTTATTATTACATTTATTTCAAAAATTTAATGTGAAGAGAAAAGAAATCAGGTTGTGAAAATCAGTTTCCGTCAACCAATACTAGCACTCCGGATGAAGTTGTTTGCTTTTAGATCGAACTAGATGCTTATGGTCGATTGTGGAATTTTTATGATCTCAATATGCTCGTTGATGTTAATTTACCTATATTTGGTTGCAAATCCAACCCTTGTGTTACTTTACATCCCAAGTTAGTTCATATTCTGCATTGCTACGCTACAATTCTGTTGAGTTCTCCTACTTAAAAAAACAGAGAAAAAAAAGAATAATTTGGTAAATAAGTAGAGTTGTTTTTGATTATTTTCAGAGATCTCAAACAACGTCCTATCAACTTCTTAACCGGGGTAGACTTGTATTTGGACCAGTCAATGTGTAATGCACCTGAAGCATTACTTTGTTGGCATTTAGGTGGCTATGTAAAGGTAATTTATCATTATTCAGATATTTTTTATCTTTGAAAGTTTTTTTTTTGGTTTAATAAAAAGAAATTTTATAGTTTGATACTTCTATTGCATTGCTATGATCTCCAAGTTTCTCTACTTATTTAGCTATTTTGCTCAGTTAATTTCATTTCCAGGAGTATGAGCTGATTCGTACCGAAGATATCCCACATTTGGAAAACTCGAAATTTGACCCACTCATTTTAAGAAATGTTGCGGAAAACATCATCGCGTTTCTTCAGGACAAAGTTGCGCAGGAAGGACACACATATTGGTTGTGTCATGGTAAAACGCATTTCTTGGAAGAGGGAATCACTTGTTTATCAATATAAGAAGTACGAATGGATCATGAGAATAAAGAAAAAAATCTTTAAATTAGTCTGGCAGCTCTTTTTCTTTGTGGGAAAAAAGTATTTATTTAAAAATATATATGTATTTATATAAACATTTATTTAACGCAGACAAAGGAGACAGTGATCGTGAACCAATGTTGCGATTATGGGATTTGACACCGCTTTGTGGTGATCTTTTGGAAGACTCTACGGCTAATCCATTTACGCTGAGTGTCGGAATACTTATCTATAAAGTAAGATATCATTGCTTCTCATTTTTTCAAAAAATTGTTTCACATGTAGTTCTGAATCTTTCAATTTGTTTTTCCTATTGAGATTTACTTTTGAGATTTATTTTTAAGACATCTGAGAGTTTCGAGAAATCGGGATGAGAGTTTCGAAAATTATTCGCTTATTGTTCTGAAAAGTTATATCCTGCATTTTTTCATATGCGATAAAAAGTAACGGAATAGAATAACGGTTTTTTCACTGCTTCGATTTATAACGAGTCTTTTGGTTATATTTTAGTTCAATTTTTTCTCTCAGGTAGCTCGTAATCTTATGCGTCGTTCTGCGCACAGACGCCCAAAACGTATTGCTAATGCTGCATTTCGTCTTCTGAATGTATGCTTGGGTATTATTGATCGAAAGAAACATCCACAGGTTGGTTTACTGTTGCTATTCTTAAGTTTCAGTTTCATTCACTCCTTGATTTCGAATTAATCTCATATTTCCGTGAGGGAGGATGTAATCATTAGTTTCTCGAGCGATGTGTAAATAAGATTTCAGGTTGCAATTTTTTAGCGATAGCTTTTTCCTCTTTTTAAAAAATGAGTGGGTTTAAATCTAGTGTAATATCACGATTATAAACTCAATTTACATGGATAAATGATTGTTGCACTAGAATCTACTTTGCTCATTAATTTACTTTAATATTTACATTTTAGATAGTAGCATGTGTATACTATTTGCTGGCGAACTTGTATCTTTCATATGGTTGTGACGCAGTGAAACGTAGTGCAGGCCAAGAAGAGGAGATGGAACGTGCCGAACCTCAGTGGACTTATGATGATAAATGGCAGCGAGAATACGGTGAAGAATACGCTAGTTATGCGGCTATTTCGGTGAGGGTTAAAGAGTGCTTCAGTGAAATGAATATGTAAAATGAACAGTGAAAGAGGAAAGAAAATTAAAATTCACAGTATTTTAGAATCAAAACTTATCTTCTTTCCATATAAAACTGCAGTACTAAGTTTTAAAATTGACACTAGTCTGTTTTAAATGATTGAATTTTAATTCAGTGACTTTACTGTTTAGATCAGAATTTGGTAATATAGCTTAGATGATAAATCTAATACAAATGAGGGATTATTTGCAGATTGAGTCATTGATGAAGACACGTTACACAGTTAGTAGACGTGAGAAGCCACCAAAGTTGCGTACGTTACCAAACTGTGCAACAAAGGAAGACTGCTGTAAGGAGGCCCTAGAACACTGTTTAGAAGTTAGTTCTTTTTATCAAAAGGAGGCATGGGGTAAATCCTATGAAAACTCGCCTGTTATAATAACTGTTGCTTTACTGCTTTTTTTCCGGCATTTTATTGAGTATGTTTGATAAAAGAAGGAAAAATGGTTATGTTCTCTCTGTCTTTTCTTTATACCGTAAATTTTCGCAGATTTTGTGTTTTAGTATGAATGACTTCTATGAGATATTTAGTGAAGGATACCAGTGCTTTCATTGGTCAAATTACTTATTATTTCTTCATGAACATGTTTTTATTCATATTTAGGGTTTGCGATATATGGATTTATTTGATCAAATGGAACAAGAGGCTCAACGGCTGGGAAAACCTTTGCCTGATCCGATGTCTTTTATCCGAGATATGGGCACGAACATTGATCTTGGGAGAGGTTAGTACTTATTTTTTATTCTTTCGTTATTCATTTTTTATTTCTTATCATTTCGTTAACTTTTACCAAAAAATATTCTTATTGTTTGATCACTGTTTGATCATTCGGAAATGTGCACTAATATCTTGGCAAACTAATTTTTTTGTAAGTTGTTTATTTTTAGAAGAAGCAGACGCAATGCTTAAGGTAGATGTCCGTTCCATTTTGTTTATTCGTGCTGGAAGTGCTTATCGTATGTTGGCTGATAGTTCATTTATTTTGTCAAGATATGGCCGAACATTGAGATTTGCACGCGTTGGACTCTACTGCTGTCGTTAGTACTTAATTTCGTCAAATCATGTACTGAACAAGAAATGAACAACAAGATCATAACAATAAATAACAAGATCGTAGAGAATCTAATGTTACTGATGTTAACTGCATGTAAATCAATATTCCATAATTTATAAAGCTACTAATGCCCAGAACAATTCATAGATATGTTAATATATTAAGTAAAATTGTTTCACTCTTGCACATATTTTTAAAAAGAAACTTTCACTCTTTCACACATCTTTAACTTTAAGAAGAAACTACGTAATAAGTCAATGCATCGACATTAAAAAATAATTAAAAGTAAGATAATCTGCTATAAATCCAAGTGTAATTATATTTCTTTAAATTTCACCTTGGTGATACTACTGAGCATTAAAAATCCAGCAAATTAAATTTAAGTACTCTTGAACTTCCTTTTCTTTTGGTTTAATTTTTTTAACAACAAAGTTCAATAATTTACTAGTGAGCGAATGATTAGTTAATGGTTGTTTACTAATTCACATTACTTCAGTTGCGGTACTCGCTTTGAATGCAGGTCTAAACTCCGAACATTCTCAACGAAATCTAGCCACAGCACGAGCTTTGCTTCCTGCGATGATGTGTCATATCGCGGAAGCCCTTGGCAATATTGCGTGTAGTTCACTGCCGGTTAAAGATCAGGCTAAGGTGGAGTTCATTAATGCTGAGAACTAGAAGTAATAATGAAATAAGGAAGTTATGCATGTAATCTATCCATTTCTTTTTCATGAGTTAATCAGTTTTTCTCCAGGCTGATCTGAAACGTTGCTATCGTGATAAGCAGATCAAAGCACAAGCGTTATATTGCCTCAATAATAATCATGGTGAACAATTTTTAACTTTGTTTTTTATAATGAACAGTATTAATTCAACTATGCTTACATAATTCTATTAAGATTCGTACTCGGTATTTTCTGCTGATGCTACTGCTGCAACAACTCCATTATCTTCATCAATGGATGACTTTGGTGATAATGGTTCAGGGATTCAAGAAAGAGGAAATATAAATGAATCGAAAGAAGTTGGATATGTTGGCTCTACTGAAAGTGACATTCAGATTCAAACCAATTCTTTTACCGCTCCTACAGTTGCTGTCAATTTAAATTCTGCTAATTATGTTGGAATCTGTGATGGATCTCTTGCAAAAATCTGTAGAAGCGATAAAGGTAGTTTTTACTTGTTTTATAACTGAAGTTTCATTTTCTGCGAATTATTTTCAAGGGTATTCTGACTTATATAATATAATGCTATTTAGAGGGAAAATGGGAGATTATCGGAAGTATTAGGATATACATAACATGAAATAAAGCTGATAAAAATCAAAAAGTGAGCATTTCAGTTTTCTGTGTCAGGGATATTGCAGAGTTAGTATTGTCGACAAGCGTAAGTTACCGATGAATGACCTCCACAGATTCAGGAAGAACAGGGTAGACAGGAAACAAATTTCATAGGAAGAAGACGTCATTCCAAAACTTGCAGATTTCGTTTTATTCCTTCTAGAAAATACACTGTAATTTGTTGGACATAAAACTTAAATAACTAGTGAGGAATTGTAAGATTGGATTGACAGTATGGAAGTAGAGGAATTAGTGAATACTGCTTTTATTAGTTATGGAGCATTTAAAATTATATTCAGTGAGCTTTACTTTATTTCATATGAAAAGTTGCTATATTTTGCAACGCTTTAAACCATATTTTCTTCATTATTTTAACTATGTTAGGAGTATGTTTTATGCATATATAATTTGAAGCAATGTGTGACAATGAGCTTATGGGCAAAGAATTATGAATGTTGATGTTTTTGTCGTAGCTATAAACTGAAATCTATCACAGAATCATCGGTTGAGATGTTATCCTTGTCATTCAGTATTCAGCGCAGCGCATGTTTAGAATATGCTTGACCATACTGCTAAATACGATCTTTACTGGCTTTTTTATTTTTAATGTGAAATTCTGTCAAATTCTTTTTAACTTCTTTTAATCTAGAATATTTTCAGATCGTCCATATAGTTGGGCATTCCCGAAAACTTTCCACATGCCATTTGTCGAATTGTTAGCAATTTCGGAGCGCGCTGCTGATGTAGCTATTGCAAGTGGTAAAAAAATTGGTAAGTAATTTTTCTGCGCTGTATTTATTTTTATTTCTTCCATTTTATTCTTCTATTTTTTCGAAAAATAAAATTAAGGCCTGTGATTTTGAAGTTTTTTGCAGATAAATTTATTGCTTTCATCTACAGTGGTTATTTTACAGCTCCGATGTCTTTATTCCCACCGACCGCGGATGCTATTCTTTATCCAGATCAGTTAGCTCGTCGTTTGGGTAATTTGAAGAATATTTTGGCTGTTCATCATATCGAACGACTTAAAGGCTTCGTGCAGCGTGCAGCACAGAAAGGAGCAAAATTGTTCACTGATAAAGGCAAGTATTTCTGATTGTTTACTTATTACTTCATTCTGCATTTTTGAATGCGGTTAATGGTTGTTATTTGATATGTTCTACGACAGTAAGTTATTCTTAGTGCAAAATAAAATGTAATAGATGAAAGTCAAAGGAGTATTAATTTTAAAAAAAAAGAAAAATTTTTTTTTCAAGAAAAAAACAAATGAAATACAAAGACAGTTATTTTCTTGTTTCCAGAAGCAATGCAGCAGTACATAGCAATGGATGTGGATGCGCTGAATACTACAAATGATACTTCATGTAAAGTAGTAAGTGTTATGGAACCGGAAGAAATAGTTGAGATGACCGTGAAAGCTGGGAAAAAGCTGCTTTTGCAGGTATTTTGTATTAAATGTTATGTACTTATATATTAAATAGTTATATCTTTATCTTCGCAGATTTCAAGTTTAATTCTACTAATAATTATTAACAATATCAGAGATAATCTGCCAATGCTTAAAATATATGATGTTTAAAAGTATAATGCTGAAAAAAGTTTCATTTTATTTATTATTTATTTCTTTTTATGAACAAAATCGCTTGTTTCATTTTAGCGAACTATTTACATTTAGCAGTTGTCTTTCAGAATTGGTTGTAGAAATTTTTTTGGTTGTATTTTTTATTGCGACGTTCGAAAATTTTCTAGGGCATTTCACTATTTGGTTTGGTTGGTGATCACGTCAACGAGGCATTTTTGTTATCAAATATTGGTCAGCTTTACCGTTTACAGTTACACTGCCAAATGTATTTTACTGATTTTAGTTTGCCATATGATCCGGAGAAGGAGAAAAACTGTGTTTTAGAGGTTAGTATGGATTTTATTCTTTGGTTTGAATTTTTATATAAAAAGCAAAAAAAATTTACTCCAAATATGTAGAGTTTTTGTGAGGCATATTTTTTCTTCATTTGCTATTTACTACTTGCTCAATCATATTCTTTACTACTTTTATATGCAGGCAATCGAGCATTATCAGCGTGCATTGACTACCATTGCTGATTTTCGAAGTACTCAGTTCCCACTGTTTGAAAGTATTAGTAAGGATTTGGCTGGTATTTACCTCACCTATGCAGTAAGACTTCAAGACAATGTGCAACCGGGAATGATACAAAGTCATCCTGAAAAGGTGGTTCTGTATTTTTAAATGCATAGTTGATTGAATGAAGGACACTGAAGGCTAATTTTAGTTAAAGCTGTATGGATTCTTGCTTCCAAAATTCTGAAGCTGGGTTTCTAATCGTAGTTGAATTCACTGCTAAAAAAGTTTAAATGAGTTTTCACTTTTTCAGGTTGTATTGTTGTCAAAAATTATGACTGTATTTTGTAGATGACAGTTGAAATACATGAATTTTTGAATCGTGCTCAGTCAGCTTACACATTAATTCGTGATTCTGTGAGATGTTCTCCAAAAATGCATTATGAAGCTGATCGGTGTATTATTGAAATTTTGTTTCGATTCGGTAAATTATTTCAGCATGCAGCGGTAGGCTGTATTTATATTGTTGGTTTTGTTAATATTTCGCCGTAGCTGTTTAAATTTCTGGAACGACTTGCTGAATTATTATTTAGAATTATTTTTATTTACTGAATTATTTCTACAGTGCTATCAATAATAACTTTTTATGCCATAGGGTTGATCTATACCTGCCTGACACTTCTTTATCCATAAAAACAAATAGCTGTTTTTTCCAGTCATTGATTTAACCGATGTTCCATTTGTTATTATTGAAAAAACAGATTTCATTCTTATAAAATGATATGGGATATGCATACATTTTGTTCCAATTATTCCGCAATTTCATATTGATATGCGTTTGATCCTTTTACCATTCATTTTTAAATATTATAACAGCGCACTTATTACACCAACATTTTTGACTATTACAGCAATACAGCACTGTTGGCTTACCTCGTAAGCTAAAAGATTATGAAAGACAAGCGATCGAGCATTATAGCGCATGTTTCAACTATGTGGTGGGGAAGATTACTAGAGCCACAAAAACAAAGTCATCCAAAAAGCATGATAAAATATGTCTTCGGGAGTGTATAACAGCCTTGAGAGCTGCTTTAGAGAGTACAAAATGTTCAGGTTCGTATTTTCAATTCAAAATTTTATTTTGAAGTGCAAAATATTTCTGAACTCCACTATTACAGTAGCAACACGGCATTATTGATTTCATGTTTTCAAAAAAAAAAAAAGGAATCTTTTATCATACAGCGAAGATTTTAATTCTTATTTATCTAATATTTTTAGATGTTAATACACGTGTCAGTACTGCCGATGCACGCATCAAACGTTCACGTAGATCATTGGCTGCATTATTCGTAACAACTCAACCATTAATGCTGCACCTGGAAACCTCACTTTCTGCTTCAGAGGAAGAAAAAAAGAATTTTTTGTTAGTATTTTCACTTTTTTTCTTTTTTAAAAAAAAGAAAGAACAATAAAAAATTGATATGTTACAACAGAATAAGGGAATGATTCCACTCAATTTTGGTTGATTTATACATGAATTTGTAAACGTATGAAATATACATTATATCATTTGAACAATGTTTACACACACATTTGAACAATATGATTGAGCGATGGCAGGTAGTTAGGGCTGTACATTTTTCTTTCGGAAGAAAACACTCAATTTTGTCTAACCCTATCAACAGTTAAACTTTCGATGGTTGAGTCGCATGGCTTTTAATCGCATAATTTTTTTGCTATTGTTTTTATTGATGTTTCTGAGTACATATTCAGCACATTAGGGCTACTGAGATTTCATCATAAATTGCTCAATTTTGAACTCACGATTCTTTACATAATAGCATTATACATGAGACTATTCTTGAATCTCTTCACGTCATACTGACTGCAAGAAAATTCACTTTTCAATTCACTTTTCTTTACAGGAAGATGATTCTTTAATGCATTTTAATAGTTACCACGAAACATTACATCTTTTTGTGCAATATGTCCGAAACATTGTCAAGGATGCTCTGCAGGTATAGCGGATTTATTTGCCCGAAATTCTTTGTGTTTCATTTTTTTTTTAGTTTCTGCACCACCAATTTCTAATTTAAATTGCAGTGTTTGGTAGCACGTTGTAATTCGAAAATGTTGGATCTTTGGAAGAACATTTATCGGTTGTTACTTCAAATTCAGATTACAGGTGAAGGTTGTAGTTTGCCACAGTGCCTGCTACAACTAGCTGATTGTGCAAAGCATGTAAATAGTTGTTTTGAAAAGTCTGAATTATAATGCATTTCCTTTCTGAGTTTCATTCACATTGCATAATTTTGTTTGTACTAATTATACACTAATGATAAAAGTGCAGTAGTGTAATCACTAAGTGTAGTCTTTCTGCAAAGAAAAGTAAGATTTTTTACTGTCTCTGTCACCATGACAACATTATTTCTATTTTCAAACATCAAATACTGCGAGATAGTTATGTGACAAGTTTGATGTTTCGAAACTTTACCGGAACTTCACCATAATTAATAGCTTCTTTTTTTCAGTTTACTTTGCCTGCTGGCGTTAATTTACTTTTTTTTCGACGCTACAATGTACCTTTTTAGGAAATTGGAGGGTATCGCATGCATCCTAATTCTTTATATGTTGTTCGAACCTACTATTGTTTAGTTCTTGCCTTTTTCCACGTTTTTTAGGTTCAATTGCAATAGTATTTAGTTACACTTTTGTTAAGATCTTAATTCCCTTACGTAATTTATTACTGGTACCTCATTTCTCTCTTTCTCTCCCTTTCACTGTAGAATTTCTTTCACATTCTAGTTTGTTCGGAAGAAGCTAGCTGTTCAAGTGGTGTTTTTTTTACTAGATGTTTTTGAAATATTTCTTCTCATTTTATCTATCGTATATTTCATTTTTCTTTCTCTCAAGTATATTACGGGCATAATATATTGAATGGAGTTTCCTTTACGCGTGTATGCATGTGTCTTTGAAATATGATCAAACGAGGCAGGAAACTGTTTATTTATTTTACTGTTGTTTACTTATGTATTTCTATGCATTTTTATCCACGAATGAAGTTGTTTCGATTCATTTACTAATTCAAATGTCATGATGATTTCGAGGTCTTGAGATGGATTAATTAACTCAACAATAGACAAAAAAAGAAAACAGGAAGGGAGAAATCATACAATAAAAGAAATGAGAGGAATGAAAGAAAAAGGAACAACACAATGTTTACCTCATATGAAATTTGATATGGTTAAGTATCATCTGATCAATGAAAGCATGTGACGGCAAGACGTTTATTGTAGTCAGGAATACTAGTGGACCGTTGAACAGGTGAAGCGAAACAGTATCTGTCCATCTACATTGCGTTCTTGTCCAGGGGAAAGGTAAACTTTGGCGGTGGTGCATTCATCATCACCAGGTGAGTCCCCTGACTAGAACGAACACCTTGCTGTCGCATACTAACTTTCATTATGTCCATTGCTCAAAGGTACTTTCACTGGGCGATCGGTGTAGGCTCCTATGGATATCGAGAGTATTGTATTAACTATAAACCAGCAATCGATTTGTCAGACACAAATATAAGGGTGCAGACGAATGAGGCCAAGCATAAGGCATTTACCGGTGTAACACACATCCTATATGCGGGGTCAGTGTGACCAATATGTACCCCATCCAGCCATACATACAAGGATACTTACTTGTTAGACATACATCAACCTGTCTTGCATAGGCCAAGAACTGGGCTATTGGCTCTCCAACTATCCTTGCACATTCAATAATGATGCACAAACATATTATCATACCTGGATAATATAACTCCATTCATCTAACATTGAAAGGTTTCTATGGCAGTGCTACAACGTGTATCAATCACCTCTTCCTTTTCTCTTTTTTTATTAAGAAATTTGATATTTCATTCTGGAAATATCTCACTAATACAATCGGATTTCTAATCAATTAATTTCCATAAAAATTATTATAAAGAATTTTAGCGATTTACAGTTCCTTATGAAATGCTTAGCAGTGGTTAGCATTGTGACTGCTTTTTACATATTTCATACTTAGTCCATGAATTTGTCATTTTAATGAAAGCCGAAGGGAATGAATAAGTCAGATGGAATAAGAAATTGGGGTTGATGATAAACTTTATCATTTATAGATATCCTTTCTATTAGAGAATTAAAATTCCTTAGATAAAAGTTTTGATCAAATTCTCAAACTAGGATTTAATTAAGAAATAGTTGTTCTAACAAATTGCTGTGTTTAAGAGAATAGATGTAAAGTGCGAATAATAACTTTGATTCTGAATAGGTATGGAAGAGGAAGCTAATATGGAAATGACAACTAATCATTTAACTCTCAACATTCTGTTTCCTCATTTTAAAAAAAAAAAAATGCAAACTAAACTGACAAGTATTTCTTCACAATAAAGTACCTAAGTTATTACTTTATTACCTTTTTAATCTACAGATTAGATGTGTATCTTATTCTGATCAAAAGGCAAGAATCTTCCAGTACTCCTTAAATATACCAAGAGGGAAAATGATTTCCTATCTAAAGCATTTACTTATAGATTACTAATATATCTCACGTCTGTTTCACCTACTTCACTTTACTTTAAATAATTATCGTTAAGTCATATGGAAGAATGCGTCACGTGAACTAGAATAAGAAATGCGCCACGTAAACTAAAATATCTATCATTCTTGTATCACCAGTAGAAAAAAACTCTCAGACAATTAGGTTTTTTTTTGCAGGACTGAGACGATGACTTTTCAGAACGACTCATACACGGACGTGAGATGCGGCAACGGTAAAAGTCTGCGTAGTATTTCCCTAATTGTATGGGTTGTGTTAGGTCGGTTTTCGTTTATGGCAGAGTTGTAGTTGTTTTCTGAGCTGATACGGTTACGTGTGTTTCACGGACGTGTTTACTAATCTTGTACGATAAGAAACGATGAAGGATTGGTGCATTTAAACTGTAATTAATTATTAATATTAATTATGTTGGTCCCAAAAAAAAATCTAATTATTACTTAGATTACTGTGAAAGAAGCAATTACGAATACTGAATTCTCACATTTCTTCAATACCATTGATACTATTAACTATATCATTGATAGTTACAGTACCGTTGTAACACACTGTACAGTGTTATGATGGTTCATTCTGCATTTCTATCTTAATTTTCAGACTCACAGATAAACCTGATGAAATTCCCAAATTAATATGATTTGAACTAATTTAATTTAACGTAATTTTTTCAAAATTTTCAGAACGATCATATCAGTTGTTGAACAAAAGTCAAGTTTTTTTAGATAAATGTAATAGGATGATGAGTTTGAGAATAAGAATTATTCTATATCTACTTCAGAAAGCTAGATTTGTAGTGCTCTAGCATCATCATGTTTGGTTGCTGTGTAAATATCACATTGTACTGACTTGCTGTTGCCATGCTCACGATAATCCAAAGCACTGAAAGCCATTTCTTGGATATATGAGGTTCAGGCAGTACTGAATTTAGTTTGCAAAAGGTCGTATATAGTCCGTTGATAGCCTATGTCACCAAGTGATTTTCTGCAATATGTAGAGCTAACATTAAAAAAGATAAACCTGAGATATAATTCATCGTTACAATAGCATCTCACAGATACTGTTATTCATAGTGACCAAGGAATTCGCACGAATTTGAAAAACTTTTAAATGCCATTATATTGTGACGTAGATTAAAATAATTCTTGCCCTCTTTCATGATACGATTAATAAATCTAACCCTGCAACATAATAGCTTTTACTTTTGATATTATACTTGTGAGATAATTTCAAAAGCTACAGAAGATTAACAATGATCAGTAGTTCGCTTTTGCTTTGTTTTTGAAGTACGAATTGTGAGCAAAATAGACGAATATAGGGAAGTGAAAGATTTTAATGATAAAAGTGCTACAAAAGATAAAAGTATTTTTACTTTTTATTTTTGTTATTACATATGAGATAATTTCAAAGATTTGTAATTATAGACTTTTTGCTCTTTTGCTGTAATTTCTTTCCATTGTATACGTGTTTCTACTTAAAATTAACGGAAAATAGAGTATTGTTGGTATTAGTCTGCTCATTTCCTACTTCATTTTCCTACTTTTTATCCTAATATTCACATTTAAACTGTATGTTTTATCAGTTAATATCATAATTTCCTTTTTGTTTAACCCTTTCATCTTTATTATTCCCTTGAGCATCTCAAAAGCCAGGACGGTCAGTAGCTTCATATGTGTTCTTCGTTGATAAGTACACTTTGTTGTATTGAAAATGATATTCGAAGCACCATGTGAAGCTGCTCTCTGACCTTGGATGGATTTCCGTAGCACTTTTGTTTATTATTGTCTGCTCTACTTTGATTCATTAATTCAAAACAAAATTTATACTCTTTCTTGTACATATAACAGAAAGTTTTTTCTGGTTGATAACATGGAATGAACAGTTATTTCAAATGTTTTCGAATTAGATCTTTTTTAAAGTGGAACATTTCATCTTCAAAACTTCATTTCATCAAACAGTCGAATACTGCCGGATCATTTTCATTTCTCGTATTGAACGTGCAAAATGGCATTTGATAATAAACACTTTCTTACTTTTTTTCTTTAATTTTTAAACTCTGAAAAAATTTCTATGTCAGTACTTGCTGTCATTCTTGCATTCCATATCTCCTCTTCATTATATTAACATTAGCTTCTGATCACGATCTCGATTATTGTTTTATATATATATGGATTCAAATATAAATTTGTGCATTGTTATTCCTACACAACATAAATGATTATTAATGAATTTTCGAGAATTAATTCCTCTTCTCAGAAGATGAAAATATCATTGAGAGCAATGATGTAGCACATTCTAATATGAACAGTAACTGTTCTACTTCTTTGCTTTATTTTTACCTACAAATATTTACACTATGTAATTTAATTTGAATAAAAAAGTAGAAATCATTAGATACAGGCATGTTCTAATAACAATTTAATATCATTATCAGTTGATATCATTGATATGAGAAGAATACCATAATTGGCGGTAAATTAAGTTTCCTGCAGACCATATTAATGTTCACGGTTCTTCAACATATATTGTTATCATGTTAGACACATGAACCAGGAGCATTACAAAATTTTCAACTTTTTATGGTATATCATAAGAGTTCCTTCTTCATACAATTAATGATTCAACGATCATTTTCAATTCAACCGTTTCTAACACCTGCACTTCTTCCACTGAGATTGCATCACTATGAGTTCACTCCTATCAACTAGCACTAATTTCGTCTATCTATCGATTTATGATTCGCTAACTCGCAAAATTTGCAACTTGTTACTACTATTCGTCATAAATGCTGCAATACGAGCTGATCGTCATATAACTGATTTGGTTTATCGAAGATTTAATTCAAACTTACGACTCAGAAATGCTTCTTACATAGCACCAAATTGTGTATGACAACAATGAAATCTGTATAGTGATAATTGTTATCACATTTTGCTCTCGTTTTGAAGTTTCCAGTTAATGACATATCATTAGAGTTGAATGTATCTTCAACCATCATCTTTAT